AGCGAGGGGATTCTGCAGACTGTTGAGGGTTCAGCCTCCTGATGAGTCGGTGAAACTCCGACGAAACAGTTTGTCACAGCCCCTCGTTTGTTGTCCTCTTCTCTCTCTCTGCCTACGGTTTACCGGACAGTTCTGTTTGTGACGATGTATATATATTATATATATTATATATATATAGTCAAACAGAGGTATATTATATATATATAGTCAAACAGAGCTGCCCTGTAAACCGTAGGCAGAGAGGGAGAAGTGGACAACAAACGAGCGGCTGTGACAAACTGTTTCGTCGGAGTTTCACCTACTCATCAGCTTGCTGAACCCTCAACAGTCTGCAGAATCTCCTAACTGATTACACTGTAAGGGATAATCCACCTTAACCCCGACTGTGGTTAAGCATCAACGACTGCCCGACAACTGATACCCTGAGGTGGGCACCAACCACTGCCCTCAAGGTACCTGTGACGAAAATCAAAGCAGACTATCACTCACCCACACCAGATGGAAAACTCCACAGACTGTCGGTTCGCACCCATCACAAGCCAGCAAAACACCCACGAAACAAAGAAAGGTCTGTCAGAGCCAAAAAATACACTGGCACTATAGGCACAGCATGGCCGCCCAGTGACGGGCCCCACCACTGCCTACCTGACCGGAGAAAACCGTAGCAGGGTGCTAGCCAAGTCGTGGTATATATCGTCAAACAGAGCTGCCCGGTAAACCGTAGGCAGAGAGGGAGACGAGGAGAACAAACGAGGGGCTGTGACGAACTGTCTCGTTTCGCCGATCCATCAGGAGGCTGAACCCTCTCTCTCTCTCTCTCTCTCTCTCTCTCTCTCTCTCTCTCTCTCTCTCTCTCTCTCTCTCTCTCTGTATATATATATATACAGTTTGTCACAGCCCCTCGTTTGTTGTCCTCTTTTCTCTCTCTGCCTACGGTTCTGTTCGTGACGATATATATATATATATGTTTGTGACGATATATATCGTCATATATATCGTCACAAACAGAGAATTGCCCGGTAAACCATAGGCAGAGAGAGAGAAGAGGACAACAAACGAGGGGCTGTGGCAAACTGTTTCGTCGGACTCATCAGGAGGCTCTGGAGTGTATTTTTTGGCTGTGACAGACCTTTATTTGTTTCGTGGATGTTTTGCTGGCTTGTGATGGGGTGTGAACCGACAGTCTGTTGAGTTTTCCATCTGGTGTGGGTGAGTGATAGTCTACTTTGATTTTGGTTAAGGCAGATTATCATTTACAGTGTAATCAGCGAGGGGATTCTGCAGACTGTTGAGGGCTCAGCCGCCTGATGAGTTGGTGAAACTCCGACGAAACAGTTTGTCACAGCCCCTCGTTTGTTGTCCTCTTCTCTCTCTCTGCCTACGGTTTACCGGGCAGTTCTGTTTGTGACGAGATATATATATATATATATATATATATATATATATGTGTTTGTGACGTTATATATATATGAGGCGGTGAAACTCCGACAAAACAGTTTGTCACAACCCCTCTTTTGTTGTCCTCTTCTCTCTCTCTGCCTACGGTTTACCGGGCAATTCTGTTTGTGACGATATATATATATCGTATATATATATAT